CTCCAAATACCTCTCCATGATATCGAATATCTGACGAAGACAATTGTGAAGGGCATCATTCCCGAAGTATTTACAGGTGGCGATGGTGCCCAAAAGGCGAAAGAAGACCTCCTCAACCTATGCAAGTCATGGTCGAACGATGAATGGAACGAAATGGATTTTTCAAAAGTCCATGACATGCAGCTTCGTGATATTCTCGCAAAGCGGGTAGAACAGGCGGCAATTGCTCAAAAGGCCGTCTGCCTGGATTGTCCCCAATTTATCAAGCATGTGAGTTGAATATTGGCATTATATGGTTTCGATGCTGATTATCTATAGTTTGCAATGTGTCACGACCAGTGGCTTATTCAAGAGAACATCACCCAGCTGCGGCAGTTAATGTCTGATCAGAATCTCCAACTTTTACCCGATTATGAACAGCGAATACAGGTCTTGAAAGATCTGGATTTCGTCGACGATAGCTCTCGGGTACAATTGAAGGGCAAAGTTGCCTGTGAGATACATTCAGCGGACGAATTAGTTCTCACTGAACTTATCCTCGATAACGTCCTTGCCGCCTATGAGCCCGCTGAGATAGTCGCACTTCTCTCCGCCTTCGTCTTCCAAGAAAAGACCGACACAGTCCCAAACTTGACTGGCAACCTGGAGAAAGGAATGAAGACCATTATCGAAATCTCCGAGAAGGTCAACGAACGCCAGACCTACCACCAAGTAATTCTCTCGTCGGATGACTCCAATGATTTTGTTTCACGACCAAGATTCGGACTCATGGAAGTTGTTTATGAATGGGCACGAGGTATGAGTTTTAAGAATATCACGGATCTCACAGATGTGCTTGAAGGCACGATTGTGAGAGTTATTACGAGGCTAGATGAGACATGTCGGGAAGTAAAAAATGCGGCAAGGCTTATTGGTGATCCGGAGTTGTTCACCAAGATGCAGACATGTCAAGAGATGATTAAGAGGGATATAACAGCGGTAGCGAGTTTGTACATGTAACTCGATATCGAAGCATCAAATTCTAGTGCAGATGTTTAGATGCCAATTGTGTCTAGATTCCCCCATTCATGATGTTTCAGCTTATTTTGAAATCGTATACTATCTCTACGCCTCAACTAGTGCTTCACTTTACTATATATTTCACCGGAAAGAACTCGATTCGCGATAATATGAAACAAAACATCCACCAGCGTAGTGAGTAGCGAATCGCATCTCAATCTTGTTGTTTTGCATTACTGCACGGACTAGAACATTCCCCGTGTGCTTCCAGGAGTGCCAACAAAGCTTGATTTCAGCCCCATCGTTCTCTTTCTACTCCAAATCACTTCTCACTATGCCCTCTTTGCTACGAGATCTGTCTTGCGTTGCGACATATCTTGTCGGCAGCTAATCAAATGTGCGTCAGATCTAACGCCAAGGCGTACAGACCATCTGATTATGCCCTGTATTTGATGCTGGGCTATAACCAAATTTTCTGTTTCTCGAGCGGAAGTGCCGGGAAAAGAATCGCGCATCAATATGATCTACAAGTATGGTGATCCGGGGCTGCTTCGACTCGGGATCCGCATTTGATACCTGACGTCTACATTGCATAGACTTTCTATACCTCGAAGACATTGAAGTCAAAGCAGCCTTCCATTCGGGCTCAGCTGTTACATACCTACCTACCAGAAACTTCTCAGGCAGGCTTGAAACGGGCTATTGGCCCAGTCATATAAGGAAGGCAAGCCGTCTTTTCTACACCCAAATCTCCTTTCGCTTAGTATTCATTGCATTCTCGGAAAACCATTTTCTTCAATCTCTCGTATCATTTCATCGTAGTATACTTTCCGATAAGACCTCGTTTTAAGTCCTCATTCCTTGAAAATGCGTACCCAATCCATGCTCTACGCGCTGGTCGCTCTTTCCACCTCCGTCTCCGCTAGCCCCTTCCCCATCGGTGTCAATGGTGCAATCGTGGCAGCTGGTCAAGCCTTCACAACTCGCCAGGCTCAAGACCTCGCCAGCCTTGCGGCCCGAGACGATGAGTCCGATCCTGCTGCTCTTCAAGCACTGTCTGACTCCGTCCATGCTGGAGATACTGAGACTCGCGATGTGAATGATGGTGCGACTGCGCTGCAGGCGCTTTCGGACTCGGTGCACGATGGGGGTGCTGAGGAGAAACGCGATATCGATGGGAATGACCCGGCTGCTTTGCAAGCGCTTTCGGATTCAGTCCATGTTGGTGGAGTTGATGCTCGGGATGTCAATGATGATGCAGCTTCTCTTCAAGCGTTGTCTGATTCTGTTCACGACGATGAGCAGGACTAGACGCGGCGCTTCAGAACACAAAGTGCTCGCCGTGTTCCAGCACCTCATTTGCGCGCGCTAGAGAGATTGAGATGTTGACGAATGAGAGGGATCTCGAAGGCGGTCATGGGATTGAGTTACTGAGAAAGAGTATGCGGAGGATGAATGGAAGGAGGTTTTGATTTACTGGGCGTGGAGGAACGAGATTTTGGTGGAGGTAGAGGGGTTTGTGGTTCGTGTGGGGGGACTCAGAGGTACCGTAGAGGGCTTGGAGGCAGACGAGAGACTGGTGGTTGTGGGCGTTGGAGTACATGTTATTTTCGAAGTGATCAGAAGCAGGAAAGGAAAATGCGGGAAAAGAGGCCTTGGTAATAAATATATGTCTCTTATTTCGAAGCCATTCTTACTACTTAAATGGAAATATATCTTGCTAATAAAGCCCTCACTATGCTCCCAACACCCGCATTTCCCATTCATATACTCCATCTCTCTGAGAAATCTCAAACTAGCCCAAATTTCAAATCCCATCCGACGCCCTCTTCCCAAACCAATCTTAGTCGGGCCATTCGACAGTAACGCCCATAAACGCAAGCAAACTAAGCACTCCCTTGTACCCCTTACTCTCAGCCACCTCATGACAGCCCCGTCCCTCCCAACTATACACATCCCGCTTCGCACCCCTCCCAAGCAGGTAATCCACCGTGCGCTCCTTGCCCCTCAGACAAGCCCTGAACAGCGCTGTTCCCTCATCCCGATCCTTCTCGAAGCTCCGCCAATTACACACCTCCTCCATCCCCGCACCAGCATCGAGAAGCATCTGCAGCGCCTCAAGATTATCCTTCTCCGCAGCGGCGATAGCAGCGCCAGTGCCCTGGACATTGAGCCCGTGATCGAGCAGCACTTTAATGATCTCGAGACCGCGGGCTTCAAGTTTGTGTAGAGGCTCGGGTGGGGTGAACGAATCGTGCGTTACGGCCCATACGACACCAACGCGCCCATTGCATCGCCGCCCGGAGTTTACCCCGTGACCTTTTTCGAGCAGGAATTTGACCAACGGTAGATTCCCCTTCATGCATGCGTGAGCCAGAGCATCGCCGTAATACTCGCTGCTGTGCTTTTCTAGGTCTACTCCCCGCTCGAGTAACACCTCGAACACGGGAATAGAACCGGCCTCGAAAGCAGCTTGGAAGACATGGTTATCGGTTGATTCTGATGGTAGGACAAGGCCGTTTTCGAGCGCCCAGACAAGGATGGAGGGGTGTCCGGCTTTTGTGCCTTTGGACGCGATTTTGGTGAGGAGGTCCGTGGGGAAGAGGGATTTGGTAAGATCGACATCGCCGGATGCTGCGGCAGCGAGGATCTGGGACTCGAGCTCTTCTCTAGATGACTTTGCTGTGGGTGTGGATGAGGAGTCATCATCTTCGGAAGAGGGTGAGGTCTCTTGGTTTTCGTCTTCTGACTCGGATGTCGTTGTCGGGGCCGTAGATTCAGAGTCTGAGTTCTGAGATGTTGTACCCGGTGTCGTCTCGGTGGCTCCATCCGAAGGTGTTGTTGTTTGGGCTGGGGTCTCCTGGTTCTGTTGTGGAGATGTTGCTGGGGCGGTAGAGTCTGGGTTCCCTGGTTGAGATGCGGTTGGGGGTGTGGGCTCCGGGCTGTCTTCCGCTCTTACGGTAGTCGTCGGCTCGTGATCCATTGCGTCCGAGGAGACAACGGCTGGTTGAGGCTCAGGATTATTTTCCGAGGGGATTGTAGCTGGTGTAGATTCAACTTCCATCTCTAAAGATGCCGCAGGTTGCGTTGACTCGTGGTCCATTTCAGAAGACAATTCAGGAGGCGGTGAAGGCTCGTGCTCCATTTCCGACGATATTATGGCTGGTGCCGGCCCAATTTCTGTATTCAAGGACATCGTAGCTGGCGTAGACTCAGCATCCATCTCCGAAGACATTGTTGTTGAGTGAGGTTGTGGTTCTCGAGTGGAAGAAAGTCGTATGGTTGCCTTGAGGTGAAGGCGAGCACGAGGTTGAATGGTGAATCAATCTTTTATACAGCCTTACGACGCCGTGAATAATTACAATATCAAGGTGAATAAATGCGCTTTCCCCAAAACCATGACGCTCGCAGAAAAACAAATAGAATATGGATGGAGAAGCAAGACAGACAGCTGGTAGAAAAAGGAGCCCTTTTGAGGACGTTGAATTAGTGTATGTTGGAGCGCTGCCAACGAACGAACAAACGAGGCTGAGAAAACCAGGACCATTGCAGAATCGGCATGTGACTCAGACTCGTTCCGAGACAGGCAGCAGTGCCGTTACCTTGTGGCAGAACAAATTCAAAAACCATATTTACAACAAAACATCATCTTCACTTTCACAATGCAAGTATCAATCGGCACCCACTCTTGAAGTATTAGGGTGAAGTCGCTTGTGGCTGGCGATATAAAGGGGGACGCTAGAAGTGAAATTGGCGAGCGGATTCTCGGCGTCTTTTACTCCTTTATCGATGCATTGACACACAGAAGAGTGTCCCACGGATAGAGAGGAGTTTTTAATAATCATCACCATCATTTCAACCCATTTTACGTTGGCCTTCGACCTTATCGAACGCCTATAGAGATACCAAAGGACACTTTTGATGGGTATTTCATTCCTCCTTAGAAGTCTAGAGAAAGAGCCCAAACTCCATTCATGCAAACATTAAATCTTTCCCTGTGATCAAGCAACAGGCGATTCAAACACCAGCGAGATCCCATCATCACCAGCTGTAATAATCCTATCCCCGTTGCCCTGTACAAACCCCAGGACACCACCACCTTCCCCATCACCCCTATGGCCCTTCCACTCTTTGACAAACCCCGAGTTCGCCAAACCAGTTCCACCTCTCGTATCCCACCTCCTAACTACACCATCCATTCCACAACTCGTCAATAACCATCCACCCGTCCTCTCATTCTTGACAAACTCCACTTTCACAACCGAGTGCTCCTCGTGTGCTTCCTTGATATGCCGCCTCACAGCAAATCTGTGAGCCGAATCAAAGAGAGCGATACTACCGTCCACACTGCCAGCTGCAAGAAGCGTCAGAGGCGGAGGCGCGAAAGCTAAAGATTCGACACCATCACTCTGCGCCTGTAGATCCGCCAATATCTGCCCTGACTGTCCCGCCGAAGCAGCACTTCCACTCGCCTTCCCACCAGCTTGTTTTCCGCCCTTTGTCTTCGAACTGGCTCCTGCTCCTTGTCTCCCCGCCGGCGCAGCCCCAGAAGGTTGAGAGCTCAGTCTTGGGAGACCAACGACTTTGATAGCCCCTCCCGCACCTCCTACGACGAGAAATGCGCCGGAAGGCGCAATTGCAACACTGAATAATCCTCCCTCAACTGCAAATCGCTGATCGAGAGACGTGAGGCCCACTACAGTCTGCCCACCCTCTTGCGTCAACCCCGCAGCAGCAGCCTCTCCAAAAACATCCCAAACATACAAAGACCCCTCCTCACTAACCGTAGCAAGCAGCTTCCCATCCGCCGACCAAGCCCCTGCCGTACAACTCTCCGTATGCAAAAAATAACTCTGCACAATCTGCAGCGGCGCATCCTTCGACGTCGAATCAACCGTATAAACCCAAACCGACCCATCATTCGCCCCGAGCGCAACCGTATTAGGATATGCCGGGTTTGGACAAGGAGCAAGCCAATTTATCTCTTCCACCTCCTGTACCTCGGCCAGGAAACCCCATCTATGTCCTTTTTGCGCATACGCTCTCAGCTTCCCATCCAAGCCTCCCGATAACAGAACTTCGCCATTGGGTAATGTGAACGTAAGAGCGTTGATCGAGTCCGTATGTCCTTCCAGTGTAAACAGCGGTTCAATCGCCTTCCTCTCCACGCGCTCACTGGGCGCGGCCTGGTAACTAGCAGGCAACACGGGTGTTTCCGCAGGCTTTGCTTCGAATATATACCCTATGCCCCCGGCGTCCTCGCCTTCACTACCCCCAGTGGCTATTATAGAGGGGTTCAGAGGATGTTGCGCTATGCAGAAGATACTGTCTTTGTGGCTGTCGAAATGGGCGGAGGAGTCGTTTTGTAAGTTAATTTCTTCTTGCATCATCTCGTCATCTTCACCCTCGCCCTCGTTTTCGGAGCCGGAGTCCATGGCTGCGTCGCCGTCTTGATCGAGGATCTCTTCGGCAACGTCGGAGGGGTCGAGCATTGCTGGTTCTTCGTCTTCATTGTCCGACGGGACCCCGCGTTCGTGGTCGTGGGAGGACATTATGGGATGGTTCTTGAGAGGTGGAGGTGCTGGAATTGGAGGTTGGAGGTTGGAGTGGGGAGAAAGCAATATTTCTCTTATAGGGAGGTTTGGCAGAGAAAGGTTGCCGAGTTGGCGTAACTGTGATCTTCAGTGTTCGATGTGCTTTGAAATCGAGGGGCGTTGCCCATTTTTTTTGGATGACAAAAAGTTTGTCCCGAGGTGGGCCCGAGATAAGGGGTTATTGTCAAATACAGTATGCTCGATTTTGAATCCAGTTTACAGTGACTGACTCAATTCAAGAGACGTTCCCTTTAAGGAGCTTGCACAGCCTAGGTGTCTATCTATCTAGCATACCTACGGTCTAAGAAAAACGCATTAATTATCAATTTCAGTGACAGGCTAATCTAACAACGGATCTATCACCATCTATGGAATCATGACCACATTTACAACTTTGCGCCCTTCGCCCTTCTAGCCTCCTTCTCCTTATCTTTTAAAAGCCTCCTCAAGATCTTCCCACTAGGACTCTTCGGTATAACATCCAAAAACTCCACGCCACCCTTTAACCACTTATGCCTCGCCTTATGCTCCTCAACATGCTTAGCAATATCTCTCGCAACCATACGATCATTCTCCTCGAGTCCGACCGACGAGGACTTGACGACGAAAGCTTTAGGGATTTCGCCTGCTGCGTCGTCGGGGATGGGGATAACGGCGCAGTCTGCTACTGCCGGGTGGGTTAGGAGATGGGCTTCGAGTTCTGCGGGTGCGACTTGGTGACCCTGTGCTTGTTAGCTGCTGAATATCTAAAGAGGGATTGGGAAGTCACCTTGACTTTGATTAACTCCTTGATACGATCGACGATAAAAACGTGCTCATTGCCCGATGGTGCCTTGCGAATCACAGCTTCATCACCTGTTCGCATCCATCTGCCTTTACCATCCGTGTCATCGAGGAATGTCTCGATGTTCGCTTTCTCGTTATTCAGGTAGCCTATAACCACAGATGGAGACTGCACCACGAGCTCGCCAGGTTGGTCGTAGCCCGTGAGTTCGACACCTTCAATAGACATGATCTTTGCGTTCATGCCGGGAACTAGGGAGCCACTCGAGCCGAACCAGATATCGTCTTCGGAGCTACAACAGACAACAGTGCTGGTTTCGGTCAACCCTAGAATATTGTTAGTATATGTAGGAAAACAGAAAGGAGACCTGAAGAACAGACCATAGGCTTGTCTAATTTTCCACGAGGGATAAATCTGTTGGAGCACTTGGGCTGTTTCTGCACCGAGGGGTGCAGCACCTGTGAAGATACCTGTTACACTGCTGAGGTCGTATTTCGAGCATGCTGACGGATTTTTGGCCATCTGAATGATGATGGGAGGCACCTTGTTGAATCAGTATGAATTCCGTCCCGCAAACTTTAATGGGGGCATACCAAGAACAGTGTATTAATCTTGAATTGCTGAATAGCATTCCAGTACGAGCTCAACTCGAACTTTGGAAGGATGATCCCTTCGTCGCCGCGGTATGTGCCAGTGTGAGCAATGACTACTAAGCCGTAAATATGGCTCAGGGGTAGCAATGCCAAGCTGACCTCAGTTCTGTCTTTGGCGGGCCTCTTCCTCCTGACTGGAGCTTCATAGGCTGTAAGTTGTAGGACATTTGAAATTACATTTCGGTGGCTAATCATGACTCCTTTCTATAAAAACCAACACGTCAGCAACTTCTCAATGAAAAAATGCTCTTCGAGGGGCATGAAAGAATCGTCTGGGCGGGTCCTAAACTTACGGGCAAACCAGATGTTCCACTCGAATAACAGAGATATGCTGTTTGTCTTGCGCCCTGACCTTTCTCCCATCTCAAAGGCTCCAAATTTGGAAGTCGCGCTCCGTCAATAATGAGCTGCGTAACAGTCTTGAATGGATGTGATATATCGCCTGTAAATTCCTTGGGCATTTCTAGAATGTAAATTCGGTCATTAGGAATCCCGGCAGCTTTTGCGGCTTGCAATGCTACGTCGAGCAGGGGTATACACTGAATTGTAGTAATTAGCCTCCAAACCCTATGGATGTAGCAATTCAACATACCGTAAAAATTGCCTTTGCGCCAGATGACTTTAATTGAAATTCCAACTCGGAAGCAGAATACGCGGCATTGGCGGGCGTTGCAATGCCAGAAAGTCGGTGGACGGCATATGCCAAAGTCATCGAATCGACCTATGACAATAACAATGTAAGCGCAAGCACCCCTTCTTCCTAGAGATTGTCGCGCACCGTGTTCAAAGCAAATATTGCAATGACCTTATCCCACTCTGTCCCCTGATTCGGTTGCCATCCGAATATTTTCGACAAAGATCGCGCAAGAAGCTCGACCCGGTCAACTTGCTCTGCAGCTGTATATGTCCGGCCGGAAATCCCGCATGTGAAGGGGTTTCGGGAGGATTTGAGGGGCCATCTTCCGTGTTTTTCATCCAACATGAATTCGCTGATTGGGATCGAGTCCGGGGGGTCTAGATTACCAGGTGTAAGCATCATTTCTTGTACCTTGGGGGACATATACGCACCTTGAAGTTTTGGAACCCATGAGGGAGGCGTGAAGACCATCTTGAGTTTTAAAGATTAAGCAATTGTAGCTGTGTAGCCGTGTAGCCGTAAGACGCTGGGAAAAGATGGAATATGGCTCGGAGATGTGGCTCGCGTCCTCGGTGAAATCGATGCAGGCAGGGTTGTGTGTAACAGTCGGCCTTCTTCACTGAAGACAAGCCTGAGCCTGGGGAAGAGGCAAGTACTTTCGAAACAGAGAAAGCAAGGAGGGGGGAGGAAGAGATGAAGAGAGATGAAGAGAGAGAGAGGGTAGAGAAAACAACTACCTATCACCTAGAAAGGGAAGGTACCCGTAGGTACTATGTCGACTTACCAAGCTAGTCTAGTCTACCCCATAATTTGGAATGTGCTTTTGCGGGGAGAAACAATTAATATGGAGTTGTGTTGTTTTTCCCGTGGTAACTCGTCCTATACAGGGCACTCGGCCGAGGCTTACGGATACTTAGGTAAGCTACAGTAAACGCCATCGCGAGCGGGGAAATTCCTTTTTCCGTGTTCTCCGTGTTCAAAGCATGACTCGTGCCTATATCCTCGACAACACGAGTCAAGTCAACCTCATAAAGTCGTCAAGCTAGAATATCGTTTCTAGCAGTTTGCATAGTACCGTATACGTATTCCTTTGTGGCATCCTATGTGGCTGCCAGTCCCTTTTGGAGATGCCGAGTGATAATTGCACCGCTACGGTACTCTACAACGGAATGAGGTTGATGCGATTAGGCCTCAACGTGATGGACTTCCATGTTTTTCTCTCAGTCTTCATCTTCGAGTTTCCATATTCATCAGCAAGGAATTTCCATTTGAGTCGGCGCTCTCCTCTCTTATAGCGTCAAAGATAGTTTCAACACACTTCTGGGTGAGACCAGAGCCTGAAATCCTGGAGTTATGAAAGCTAGTTGAGTTGTCACAGGTAGGGAATCAACGGGCTCCGGGCTACCGCATTGAATTCAACGCCAATTTCCACGGAATGAGAATCTCTGACCCGAGAAACAACGTCAAGTGGGTCGTTAGGTGTGATATGCGAGTTCAAACCGGGAGTTCAAACCGGCATTGAGAGAGGGTCTATTACAAGCAAGCGTAACTCTTCTTTACCAACCAAATCCATCAATTTCTTCCCGGGGATCTGGAGACAGATCTAAACTATACATATCATTGAAAGGCCCATCTAGGATTCTTTAATTCATAACATGCTTGGCTTTTGTTTATTTCCCTAGCTCTTGTGCTCCTTTTCAAGCATAGACACTTCAGCCTCCTAGTGTAGGGCTTTGTCCACGGAATGTGGAATTGAACCATGGAGCTCTTTAAAGGCAATAGATTATTGGCAGTTGGGTCTACCCACATAGATGACCTGCGGCTCATCATCATGCCTTCTTTTGAAAAACACGCCGCCTCTATCACGTGAGGAAATGTTCACATTTGCTCTTGTACTTCAGATATATTATACTCGAGTACTCGTCTTCGTCCGTACCTTTTCCAACATCCATTGTCCATCTAGCTATGATAGTTCTGCCCCTTCACGCTCTATCCCATCACATCCTCTCGACCCTGTATCTCCATATTTACGTTCCATTATCTCAGTATATCATATATAAACCTCTGTTATGAATATTCGCCCACTTTACCGTGACGCCTACTGACTCTTAAATCTTTTAGACGTCCTAGTTCCTCCTACTATCACTTTCCAATATCTTATCCTCTCCCTTATAATTACCTCCTATTACCTACTATACTTAACCATCGGCTTTTCTCCCTCCTCTCCGGCACTACAAAAATATACCTGGCTTACAAAGGATCCTTTACACGAGCATGGCCTGCTCTGATTAATGGAGGAGCTTGACTTCCTACAGAAGGGCTTTCCCCCCACATTTAAGAATAGACTTTAATCATTCACTTTCGCTTACACTTAATGCTCGTCCTCAACTTTTAGTGCTTCTCATGGTTCATTAGTACCCACTTAGCAACTTTTGCAGATTTACCGGTTGCGTTAATCTATTTAGACTTCTACAGGAGTACCTGTGCTACTGTAAGTTCAAGATGGGAGAGTTCACGTCTGTCCAGTTATCCAGTGGGTGCTCTCGACTAGGAGACTAGGAGTTTGGTTTATGCTGACAAGAAAGTAGGTTTGGTGTCTCGTTCATAGGTGCAAAATGATCCCAAGAGACTTTGACTTCGTTCGCATATGCTTCCGAGCAGTGCACTATAGCTAAGATGAGATTGAAAGTCAAGTTACGTATGTACTTGGTATAACTTGGCATTTTACCTCCACATCTCCACCTTGATGTCTGCTCCAAGATCACCCTTGAGACCTAGTCGAGAGTGGGAGTTCGAAACTCACACCAATGCAAGTCTAAAGAAGCATTTGGTTGCCTTACACCAGAGTCCTCGTATTTGCAGTGAAAAATGGGTTTTGGGGTCCGAGCACTTACTCACCGCAACACTACGCCTGCGATGTGCGCATAACACACCGCTCAGATCATAGTCAAGCTGTTTTCACAAGTTACCTGTAGTTGTTTGTATGTATTGGCACAAAGACGCACTTTCAGAGCTATCATTATTGTGAGGGCTTAAATATGATACATCCAAGCGCAATCTCCTAGATCGGACGGATTTTCAGGGGTCAAAAGGGGGTTTATTGAGTACTCTTGCATCTAGGCTATCTCAAGCTCATGTTCATGGTAGCATTGTGGAGAATGTAGTTTCTGACCGGAGGAGGCTCTTTCAAAATAATAAAAGGTTATTCTAATTACTGCCTGGCACATCACATTTTGGAGATGGGCGTCCTGGGACCGAGGCAACTTGCAACCTTCATTGTAACAATCAATTGACCGAGAAGTAAGGAATAGAGATAGGCAAACTTGCATTTTAATGAAGCCTGAATATTGTGAATTTGCACACAATCCGGGCGCAAGGCTGGGCAGCTTTGACAGCCTTGGGCGTTAAATACCTTAGGTATCTATTCAATACATCTATGATCAGCATTGCCTGATGCGGCTTTGTTTGCTTTTGCTCACCATTCAAAAGGCAGAACAGCATTAACTTATCAGGCCACCTGCATCACTGCATACACCGTGGTTGTGGTTGTCGACGAAGCGGGGTCGTCAGCCGGCAATCGGAGCTTGCTTCCCCACCCTGAGAGGCTGAGAGCTATCTATCTGAATTTCCTCCAGTAAATGTCAATTTCTGTCGACAAAAGAGATGAAAAAAGACCACATAAAAATGCCAAATCTTCTAGTGAGAGGTGAACGAGTATATTGGGCCTTAATACTTCGCCGATGACGCAAATGAGGTATACGATAAGTAACATGCTGTGCCATTTTAGTAATATTGAACACCTGTCACACAGATCAATAATTTCACCACTTTCAGGAAAGGCAAACAAGGCAACCACTAAGCTCGCCTGCGGCTCGTGGAAGAAGTCTTTTTAAGACCGAAAGGGTGCTTCTTGCATAAAGGCTCCCCTCCCTTTTTCAATAAGCCATGCGAGTACTCGTGGAAGAAAATTCCGGGGAGCTCATCTTGCTTATCCGACAGGCTTATCACACCGCGCGCGCGCCATCTTTTTCTGGAGGAAACAGCGCCTAAAAGGCTCCCAGCCTTACGTTATTACGATGGATGGGCCGCAAGTGGGGTCTATATGGATACCATGTTCTAGTGAACGTGCCAAAAACGTGCTTGCCATCTTTCTTCACACGTGTTGTAAGCTTGTATGGGGTTTATTTCAAACGGGGCGCTTTTGGGGAGAAACTAAAGATGGCTGTGTCACAAGTGCGGTGCAAGTCGGTTGATCTTTCGATCAAAGTTCCATTTGATCATATCGAGATAGGCTATCATGGAAGGTGGTGCACGGGGTTATTTTTTGATTGGTCCAACCCCCAACCCCCCAAGATGGAGTGAGATTGGGGATGTACTTGAGTGGACGATATACTCACGGGATCTCGATGAGCCAGCCACACAGTGTATATCTTTCGTATATCGTCCAGAGTCGGGCGTTATCCAAGTACCTTCTTGACTCGTAAGTCGCCGAAGGCTGATCATCAGCATGATCTGAGCATGATTGCAAATATGCGGATATGCAGTCATATTATGTTTAAGGCTGAGGTAAGTCTTATTTCCCGGCCCATTGCTAGAATCTGTGCGAATCAATTAGGTGCAGCAGTGTGAAAGGCAACTAAGAAACAATATAAAGTGTCTGCCTTTTAGGCATGGCTGCCTGGAAAGGCTTCTAAAATATTTCATGATCTCACGATGTTAAGGTTCAGAGGCAAGGCAATGATCACCTGTGCCCTTCGGGCAAAAGTGCAAGGCTAAGAGTGGGATTTACAATGCATCTTTGAAATAGGGCGATTTGTAAGACTTCGGCAATCCATAATACCGAGTCAAGAGCAGAAGCTAGTTATCAAGTTGTTTCAGAGCATCATCAATAGGTGGAATGGCTTGAAATTACATTATGGAATCACAAGGCGTCTCTCGTTCCATTGCATCACTAGACCAGCACTGCAATGTTTCCTAATTTCCAGGTTCCGACTGTTTGCCTTTCAATCGCCTGAATTTTCAGACTATTGATACAAATGTAATTTCATTGAAACTTTAAACACAACACTAAATCGGCGTATAAGTCTAGCCCTATATATAGTGACTCGTGAGTGATGTGAAGAAAAGAAAATAGTCTCCAAATGATGCCATTAAAATACCACCGAGTATAATAGCTATAGAGCCTTTTGGAATGCTTCGTGGTAAGTATTCTATATGTCAAAGAATTCCACCCCATGAGAATCTGAACCGAGCATAATTCATAGATCGTTAATGGCAGTTTATCTCAAACGTGCGTTGCTGCATCAGACAAGTCTGGATAGCAAGTGCGAAAACAGTGATGCCTGTGGAATTATCAGACTATGTGACTCTTTTGCCTAATTTACGAGCACTCGCCAAGCTGGAATGAGAGAGCTCAAAGTAGTAAATGCAAAGAAAAGAAACATTACGATCGCCATATTACAGGCTGTTCA